TTAGAAAAGAGAAGGTTGAGGGGGGACATGATAGCAGTTTTCAGATATCTAAAAGGGTGTCACAAGGAGGAGGGAGAAAACTTGTTCATCATGGCCTCTGGGGATAGAAGCAGCAGCAATGGGCTTAAACTGCAGCAAGGGAGGTTTAGGTTGGACATTAGGAAAAAGTTCCTAACTGTCAGGGTGGTCAAACACTGGAATAGATTGCCCGGGGAGGTTGTAGAATCTCCATCTGTGGAGATATTTAAGAGTAGGTTAGATAAATGTCTATCAGGGCTAGTCTAGACAGTATTTGGTCCTGCCATGAGGGCAGGGGACTGGACTCGATCTCTCGAGGTCCAATCCAGTCTTAGTATTCTATGATAACTAGGGATATTAATAGTTAACCGGTAAGCATCGCCCTTACCTGGTGATACTTACTAGAGCAGCCCCCCATCTGTAGTGTGTCTGGCCCAGGAGGGCCTGAAGCAGCCCCCATCCATGGCATGCCTGTGCTGGATCTACCATGGATAGGAGCAGCTCTGGCCAGGCTAGAGCAACCTCTGCCTGCTGTGGAGGGAGGGGCACTCCCGCCTGCCCATTCCCATTTAATCAGTTAACTGGTTAAACATAATGTTTAACTAATTAAATAGAATTTTACATCCCTGCCTACAACCAACTCTTATAGTCTTAAAATGGAGATACAAATACCTGTCACATCAGAAATACCAGTGTAACCAAATGGTGTTCCTGTAGTCTCCAATTTTAGTCCCTTTCTCATTTGGAATAAAAAGTTAATGTTTCCATAAAATTTCTCAAATCTGTTCTCAGCCACAGGGTGAATATTTTTGTTGTCTGGTAAGTAACGTGGTCATGAGTGCAAAAGAAACACTAACATTTTAGGACACTTTCAACACTTAAATGAATGACAACTGGCTTGGAGATAGTTTGCAGCACGATGGCTTCCGTGAAGAGTGATTGTTTTGATAAACTAGGAAAAGGGAGTGGATAAGCGGGTTGAGAAATTAAACATAGTCCACAGTATATTATTTCTTTATTAAGTGCACACTACATAAGATTAATAGCTACATGTGCAAATGTCTGTATGTCAAGCAATTAAAACAAATTTAATGCTGCCATTAATTTTACTGTTAAACAATAGAATACCATTTATTAAATATTTTGATTTTTTCTACATTTTCAAATATATTGATTTTAGCGCTGTCAAGTGATCTGGGTTAATGCCTGGGATTAACACAAGGCAGGATTAATGCATTAATTTTTTGATGCATTAATTGCAGGCGTTAATGCTGTGCTGCCCCCTTTGAAGAGCTGGAGTGGCGCTTCAAAGGTGCAGTACAGTGCCAGGAATCAGCTGGGCACTCCAGCTGATCCCAGGCCCCTAACATACTGCCCCTTTGAGGCACCGGGGCACTCCAGCTTATCCCTGGCTACACGTTACGCTGCTCCTCTGTAGTGTGGGTCAGGTGTTTCCAAGAGGCAGCAAGGCACAGAGTCAGGGTCAGCTTGGGACTCCAACTGGTCCCGGGCTTCTGCGGCGCTGCCCCTTTGTATCGCCGCCGCTGCGTTTCAAAGGGGCAGCTGCACTGAGCCTGCGGTCAGCTGAGGACTCCAGCTAATTCCGGGCTTCCACAGTGCTGCCCCTTTGAAATGTCGCCACAGCATTTCAAAGGGGGCAGTGCACACAAATAATTGCGATTAAATTTTTTAATCGCTTGACAGCCCTAATTTATTTCAATTAGAGCACAGAATATGACATGTACAATGCCACTGTTTGTCACAAAAATTTGCACTGTAAAGAAAATATATGGATATATTTCATGTAACCCAGTACAAGTACTGTAGTGCAAGCGTAAAAATAGAATTATGTATAAAAAAATCCTGCATTCAGAAATAAAACAATGTAAAATTCTGGATTTTACAAATCCACTCAGTCCTAACTCTTGTTAGCCAATCATTCAAAGAAATTTGGATACAATTTGCAGGACATAATGCTGCCTGCTTTTTGTTGGAAATGTTACCTGAAAGCGAGAACAGGCTTTCACATGGCACTGTAGTTGGCATTGCAAAATGCCATTGCAAAATATTTACTTGCCAATTCACTAAAGATTCATATGTCTCTTCATGCTTCAATCACCACTCCAAAAGCATACTTCTATGCTAATGGGTTCTGCTTAATTATGATCCAAAGCACTGAAGACCGATGCCTGTTCATTTTCATCATCAGAGTCAGATGTCTCCAGCAGAAGGTGGATTTTCCGTTTTTGATTATTTGGGTTCTATAGTGTTCACATCAGTGTGTTGCTCTTTGACATGCATCTGACGAAGTTGGTCTTTGCCCATGAAAGTTTATGCTCCAATAAATCTCCAATAAATCATGCTCCACATACTTCTGAAAATATGCTCAACACCTCATGCCTCTTAGTTTTTTGGCTGGCACTTGAGATTCTTAAACCTTGCTTAAGTGCTGTAGCTACTTTAGAAATCTCACAGTGTTTTGTCAAATCTGCTGCCGAAGTGTTCTTAAAATGAACATGTGTTGGTTCATCACCGGAGACAGATACAATAGGCAATATGACAGAAGGCAGGTTAAACAGAGCCGGTGACATACAATTCACTCTCAAGTAGTTCAGTCACAAATATAATTAACTTATTTTTTCAAAGAAAATCATCAGCATAGAAGCATGTCCTCTGGAATAGTGGGTGAAGCATGAAGGGGCATGTGAATGTTTGGCATGTATGGTGGTAAATACCTTGCAATACCAGCTACAGAAGTGCCATATGAATACACTTCTCACTTTCTTGTTTACAATGTCAACAGAAGTGAGCATCAGCATCTTCCATCAGTGTAAACAAACCTGCTTGTTTTAGTGCAGGGCAACTCAACACACGGCCCATGGGCTGTATGCAGGCCACAGCGCCTTGAGCGGCTTCCTGGGCTGCCTGCCTGCCTCATCACTGGGGCTCCAGTGGCAGCACCAAGCTGTGTGGCTTTGAGCCAGGCCACGTGCACAGGAGTGGCTGGCTGGCAACGGGGGGGGGGGGGGGGGGGGGGGAGAGAGCGGGAGGCGCCGTATCTGCCACAGCGGCATCACCTCCCCATGAGCAGAATCACATGGCACTGGTGAGACCCAGGGCATTACCCTCTGCCCTGCAAGATTTATGTCCCCAGCTCTGTGGGAGAGAAAGGGCATTGGGTTAGAGCACGGGGCTGGAGGATGCCTGGCTCTAGGGGAGAGGTGGGCACTGGGTTAGAGTAGAGAACTGGGCAGTGGATCTTGTTGGGTTAGATTTGGGAGTTCCAGTCTCTGATCTGTAGGGACTGTGGGAGCTGATGCTTGGTGGGGCAGGCAGGGGAAAGGAAGAGATTCTGGGAAGCAGGATTCCTGAGTTCCTTTTCTAGTCATGCCACTTCTCCGCTCAGCACCTTTAACTTCACATTGATTGTACTTATATTTCAGTAAATATTGTATTGGCAGTTAGTTTGATTTTTTTAAAATTGTGAAGCCAAAACAAAAAAGTAGTCAATATAATGGTCTTCTGTTGATATGTGTTTTAATAGTTAAATTGCTGAACTGACGGTGCTCATTAAAAGTGCTGTCATATGGGTAGAAATCAGGTAAATATTGCATTTTATTAATATCAGCAGAACTGACTTAAATGGGGCCTGTGTGTTGTGTCGTCTTGCCTTAATCTTTATATTCATGCCCATCAGGATGAAAGAAGCTATTTGCATATATATTTGCATACGTATGCAACCATGCTCAAGTTGCAGCCCTCAGCGTGTGCTGTGGGTATCATTGTGGCCCCCAGGGCTTCCAAAGTTGAATAGCCCTGTTTTAGAAGTAGGAATGAGTAGACATATAGGCTTTAAAGTTTTACATTGTTTTCTTTTTAAATGCAGTTATGTAACAAAAAATGTTCATTTGTTTGTTACACTTTCATAATAAAGAGACCACACTTCTATGAGGTAAATTGAAATACACTATATCTGTTGTTTATCATTTACAGTGCAAACATTTGTAACAAAAATATAAAGCAAACACTGTACACTTTGTGTTCTGAGTTGTAATAGAAACAAATATTTGAAAATGTAGAAAACACATCCACAAATATTTAATAAGCTTCAATTGGTACTCTATTGTTTAACAATGCCATTCATCACAATTAGGTTTTTTTTAGTTTAATCATGAGTTAACTGCAATTAATCTACAGCCCTGGTCTGGATAAAACACGGTGATGGACCCAGATACATTTATTTCAGTGATTGCATACAAGACCATGATCATATAATCCTTTATACATGTTCTATCTATTCTGATCAGGTATCATTCCCATAGCATATGACTGTATTCCAATACTGTAATCAGTAACAAGACTAAGATTTCTCAGATGTATTTATTCTCTCTCATTTTCTCCTGAGGCAAAACAACCCAGTATGTGGTACAGTGTTCTGGTATGTTTTTTGTTGTTGTTTTGTAAAGTGCATGCTGCTGCGTGTTTGTTAGAAAAGGCAAGGTCGAGGAAGTGTATTTTGTATTTATTGGAGCCATAAGTGATTGTTACAATGAACAAACATGTTCCCACAAAGTAATTTCTTCTCAAAGAGCATCAGGAAATAATAAACATATAAGCCATTTGCTTAATGCACAATCATTTGGATCTCATATCACACTTTAAACTAAGCAGGGCTCACTACACCCACTTTTCCCAGCCACCTTTACATTTGTGCATCCACAGAGAAGAATCTTGCAAAATTCGTGTGGAGAGTGACAGTGCTCCCAACATGAAAAGTAAGGACTCAGACCTTTTGTTTTTAAATACAGAAAAAATACAGCTGACATCCGACTTTTAAGAGACAGATTAGATTTCTGTTAATTTAATTAATTGGAACAACTCTGCTCAACTAGATCAGTTAGACTACTTTATACCCAGTGTTCTCAATTGTGAGATATCCTTGTAAACTCAGACTAAGACATGGAGAGAGAAATAAGCCATACCTTTGAGGGTTTGTAACCAAACAACATCACTACAGCAACCTTAAAATCCTCTCTGCTTAAATATCCTTTTTTATCTTCATCACATGCTTCAAAGACCTAAAGAAAAGTAAATAGATTTCCATTCAGAAACAAACTTGAAGTTATTGTTATTACTTACTAAAACAGCCTGTGAAAAATAAAACAAATACTTATTTGGGGAAAGATATTGTATTTAACAAGACAAACCTTCAACTTAAAAATATATTGTTGTCTGAAAATAGTCTGTGCCTTATCTTACAAAGGGACACAGCCAATGGACTGCTACTTCTTTTAAGCGCATAAAAACCTGAACAACCTCCCATCTGCAAATTTCAACTTGATGTTGATATAGAAACTTTTTTCATTTAGTAAATTATTAACTCACATCAAAAGTTTTCTTATTAATGTGTTTTATATTCTTTTAATTTTAACTGTGCATAAGTATCTGGAAAAATTTAGCACCTTGTGGGAGTTGAAGGCCACATCTACACTACAAAATTATATCAAACTTACGTTGGTGTACAATCACCATAATTATTAAATAACCTGTGGATGTGCACCCTTGGCTTATTAGGTCAGTGGTGCACATCCTCACCAGGCGCACTTGTGCCTATTTTGTCAGTGTTGGGCATTGTGAGATGGCTCCTGAAAGCCAATTGACATAAGTAACACAGCAGCTACACTGACACTCAGTTGGGTTAACCACATTGGCCTTGATTCTGTGTTATTTGTGGTGTTGTGTTCCCTCTAATTTTTCCCATGTGGAATTAATTTTATGTGCACAAATATGGAGGTGAGGTGTAACATTCAGAGTGTGGGAAGAGGCAGAGTGTTGAGGTGTGGGGGCTTTGGGGTGGGACCACGAATGAAGTGAAGCATGCTGTTCCCCCCTCCCCTCAGCGCTGTCCAGAACACACCAAATTGGACTCCAGTAGCAACGTCACTGCAGTAGCAACTGTCCCCTTTTCCTCCCGCCCCACTCATCGACGGGCTGGCACTAACACAACATCAACCTAGTTACAGTGAGTGTGACTATACCACTCATGGATATGATATTACTAAATCAGCATAATAGAGACTTACATCAGGAGACAAATTTAAATGAAGACACTTCAATAGGTAGGTTGATGTAAGTTGCCTTGATTCAACCTAAGGCTACGTCTACACTGTAGCCTTCTTGCAGAAAACTTATGCAAATGAAGCTCAGCGTGGAATATCACCACGCTTTATTTGCATAATTAATGAGCAGCCGCTTTTGCACAAAAAAAGATTAGTGTAAATGGCTCCTTTTTGATCAAACACCCCCTCTTGTGCAAGAGCCGTTCTTCCTATTCGGACCGTCCATTATATGCCAAATACCAGGGGCTTAACTTTTTGCTCATCGTTCATTCTGCAGATATGCCCCAATAGCGGATTGCATTTCTAAAAAACATACAGAAAAAAAAAAATCAGACTCCCCAGGCAGATGAAAGAGGCAGCTGGGGGCACAACCCCTTGTCCAGGACTGCTCTAACCTCAAGCTCCCCACCCCGGGGTGCCCTTTAAAGAGGATGGGAGGAGCTCAAGCTACCTCTGCTTTCCAATTTGTATGGGAAAGTTGCTAGATGTTCACCTTCATCAAGAAGGCAGGGGAAACTACACAACTTGCTGCATTCCTAGACAAAGCTGGACTTGCTCCAGTCTGGGTCAGGGAAGGGGGCTGAAGCTCTCTCTTCGTGATTTGTAAGGGAACATTTCTGGCTGTTCCCCTTTGTCAGGGAGCAAGGGAAAGTGCACAGTTCGCTACACTGCTCACACTGGCTTGAGAGTGCAGCGGGGGCAGACAAACCTGGACCAGCTACAGGCGGGGGTCATGCTCCCTCCCCCATGTTTGCATGCTGGAGCTGCAGTGGCTATGGAGTGACGCTTCTCACCTGGCCCCAAAATGCTGCTGTGACAGCGGGCTGGGATAGTCCTTTCTCCCTGGGGCAGTCTGTATACTGCAGTGTTTCCCAATTGGTGCTCCGGGGAACCCTGGGGTTCCGCGAAGCAAAACTAGGGGTTCCGCAAGGAGCTGGCACTCCCCCACCCCCTCTGAAAGAGAGAGAGAGAGAGAGCCAGCTAGCCAGCAGAGGCATGGGCAGCAAGTTGTATGGGCTCATGGTGCCCATGCTCCACCAATACACAGGCATGGACAGCGAGTTGTATGGGCTCGTGGTGCCCATGCTGCACCAATATTTGGAACTGGAGTGGGCCCCGGCCCCCCCCGCGCATCCTCCCACCCCGGTCCCAGAGCATCTCTCCCCTGTCCCCACCGTGTGCAACCTACACTGAGCTCCCCCTTGCTGGCTGCTGCTGCCCTGCACGGCATGCTCAAACCGGTAGGCAGGGAGATGCCCGGGTGTGATGTAACATCACGGCTCGGGGATTTGAAACCGCCGGGGGCCGCGGTGC